CATATTAGAATGATTTCTGAAGGATCATGTGACACTGAAGACTGAAGTAATGGCTGCTGAAAATTCAGCTTTCCCATCACAGGAATTAATTGCATTTTAAAATATATAATCATAGAAACAGTTATTTTTAAATTGTAATAATATTTCACAACGTGACTGTCTTTACTGTACTTATGGTCAAATGAATGCAGCCTTGGTGAGCAAAAGAGACAAATCTTAGTTATTCCAAACTTTTGACTGGTAGTGTAAACAGCTTTCATTTTCTTTAACATAGAATAATACTTAAGAATCACTTTAAATAATGGAGTAATGTTCATTCAAAATGCTAACTTTCTGATTCTTCTACTCTTTCCATGTTGTTTCATTCACTAGAACGTTCGGGTGAAGACGGTGTCTCTGTGGTCTTTTGTCAATCGTGACACATCCTTGTATATAAACCCCTTCTACACACCAGAGTCCAGTTGCGTGCTTTACCCTGTAGCCAGCATGCGCCACCTAGAGCTTTGGGTGACTTATTACATCAGGTGGAACCCTCGCATACAACACCAGGTATCAACATACATTCACAATCAGGTTGTAGTTTCTATAGCATTTTGTATGGTGATAAGCATTATTTAAGCTGACTTTTTAGGGTATATACAAATGGATCTTTGAAGGGGGAAAAAGCATGTGCATCTTTTTTTACAGTGGGTGTTTTTGCCTCTGGGTGGGATTGAGTATGTGTGTGTGTGTGTGTGTGTGTGTGTGTGTGTCTGCACACCCGATTCAGCGGTGCAGAAAATCCTCTCTCTCCAGTTTAATTACGTCCTGACTGGCACTGCAGTGAACTGTCACTCAGAACGTCCTTATAACCACACACATACACACACACGCATTCTGTTACAGAGGTTTTGCAGGAGCTGCTCCAGCATTGGCATAAATAAGCATTTTACCACATTAGTCATAACAAAGATTAATGCTGTTTACCATTTACATATTAAATGTAACCAAAACAATAGACCAGAAAAAAAACTTTCAAATGTAATGTGTACAGGCCATAGTGCCATGTTTGAGTATTAAACTGCACATTCTTATTATAGTTATCCAGCTAATCATAGATTAATACAAAATGCTTGTCCGAGAACTAGTATTCCAGCATCTTATTATGTGCATCAAAAAACATTTGTATCATAAAAATGCAGATGTGATCAGTTTCCTTTATTTGAAATCAGAGTGTTTTTGCTGCCCTCTGGTGGCTATTTGATGCATTTGTCACTTCACATGTGTTAATGTTTGTGTATATTTGTGCATATCAGCAACAGAGTCCAGTGGAGCAGCGCTATAAGGAGCTACTGGCATTGAGGGATCAGTACCTGAAGAAACTGGAGGAACTGCAGCTCTCAGACTCCGCCCCCTCCTCCACCCACTTGACAAACCGCTCCACCCCCAATGCTGCCACGCCCAATCAGCACATCACACACTTACAGACACCGTTTTGATCCCACTCACAAAACTGTTACAGACGTTGGACATTTGTACATAGCAAAAGTGATAATTATGGTAACACAATTAGTAGTGATGTCGACGATAACGAGTAACAAAACAATTATGCAATAAACCACAGTACGGCCTTCATCACGCAAAAAACGTTAAACGAAAAGAGAAGCCTTAAAGTGACAGCGCTGTTTTTTTGCACGCCGCAAATCATGGATGAAAGTGAGTCAGATTATGTGTGGCTGTCTCAGACACCACTTGGATACTGTTTGGAACAGTCATGTGACGATTGAAAGCAATGGAATCGGATGGACGTATGTGGATTATGTGTTGCGTTACATGTGTTATTAGAGTCCTAAAGTGTCTAGATCTGAGTGAAGAACATTTTCGAATGTTGAGCACTAGTAAGATGGCATCTAAATGGTGTTCAGAGTGCTGGTCTTGTAGTCGGTGTGGTGTCCAGTCAATCCAGTATCAAGCAGGGTCCTCAAACATTGGTAGAGCAATCGTTTCATTAGTATACTTGGTTTAACTGCTTGACAAACTCAAATGGCTGACCTCAAAAGGTAAAAGAAGCAGATATGTTGTCTAAATGTCTTACTTTTTCCTCCGTAAATGTCATTCGCTGCTCAGGTGAGTGTATGATATGGTAGGAAAATGTTCTGAAGCGGTTAATATTAGCTTGTTGAACAGAACCAGGGTTTTTTTAAGTGAGCGACGTGGATACCTTTTTGGTGCCTTTACTCATATCTGAGGTTTTCAGGTATATATTTTATTGCGAGACATTTTTTTTTCTTTATGGCAGCATCAGTGGTAGAATATTCATTTCCATTCACTGTGCGTTTGAGCAACAGGTTGTTTCTTCTCCTGCTGAGTTCTGGAGTTGAACAGTTTGAAGCCCTACATGCTTGTGGCTTTACCCCATAAAACGACGTGCAGTTGCCACGGAAAGCAAATATTTTGTTTCTGATGGAGCTGACAGTATTGCTCCCAATGAGACGTAGCATAGTCTGCAAAGTCTTTTGGGTAGGACTTAGCGGCTGGGATATGAAGCGGTGTGTTTGAGCTGTCCCAAATTCAGCCTTTTCCTGAGGAAGAGAGCGGTGACTGACACGGGGTTATAGAGGAGGGCTTCATTGAGTCATTGCTCATGCTGCCTCGGAAAACTGAACTTCTAAAGACTTTGACCTCAATGAGGATATGACGTTTAAACCATAGTGTGTGAAGAAGACAAACAAGTTCAATAAACAAACAAACCATTTGCGGTTGGTTGTTTTTAGGGGGGAAAAAAGACAGAAATCTATTTTTTATTTTGTACAAGTACCAGAACTATGTAATTACCTCAAACAAAAACCTATTTTACTGTTGAAAGTTCTATTGTTGTCAAATATAATTATTTTATTCAGTGTACAATTTGACAGTTTTATAAAAAGGAAAGTAATTAGAAAAAAATGTTTTGGTTGGTTTTGGTAATTGTAGGTAATTTGTTGGACATCCTCTTATATGTATAATTTCTTTCTTTTTTTAATGGGCATTTAGGTTTTGCTTTGTAACATTTTAAAGATCTGAAAACGATCTGATTCTGTAGGGAATTCTTTTGTTCTCAATCCCATCGCATGAGATTGAGTGAAGGAAAGCTGCACTCTGAATTTTTTTTTTCTCACATTATCTTAAGTTAGACATAATAGTTTAGAGGGATCTATTTGTGTTTTGTATTCCCACATGTATCCTTTATTTGTTGGCCAGCTATTGTTCTGTACATAATGCTGATTAAATTAATTTAAAGAGTTCACATGGAAAAGACTGTGTGCTCATTATTCCAGGCATTCTGATTTTATGACAGTGGGGTTTAATCAATCCCATCGCATGAGATTGAGTGAAGGAAAGCTGCACTCTGAATTTTTTTTTTCTCACATTATCTTAAGTTAGACATAATAGTTTAGAGGGATCTATTTGTGTTTTGTATTCCCACATGTATCCTTTATTTGTTGGCCAGCTATTGTTCTGTACATAATGATGATTAAATTAATTTAAAGAGTTCACATGGAAAAGACTGTGCTCATTATTCCAGGCATTCTGATTTTATGACAGTGGGGTTTAAATGTTTCTTACATTTGTTATGTGCAGCGCTTATAGCATATAAACCACCCAATGCAATTTGTCTAGAGCGACTAATCACCTTTAAAAACATGTTTTTCAAGACCTGCAAGCATGCATGACTGCAATGAAAATGCATACTCTAAAAACCAAAATGTATATACTATCACAGAGGTATGAAAAAAAACTCATCTTATAGAGATGATTTCCAGACAATTTAATAAGCATAAGCCTAATCTAAAAGCAAACAGTTATATTAGTTTCCTTAGTTATATTAATGAGGTGCATCTTATTGAAAATCAAAAAATGTACAATAAGTCAAACATACAGTAAAAACCGATATAGTGAGATGTTACAATTTAAAATAACCGTTTTCTATTTTGATGAAGATCTATTTTACATTTTTGTGACATAGACATGTGGGGGCGTGCTAGAATGAGCCATTTTAGGTAGGCGTGGTTGACTTAACTTTTATAAAGAATATCTCTTTGGATTTGAGACTTTAGTCTTTGCAACTTTACAGATCTTCTTTATGCACCAAGAGCTTGTAACACTTCAAAGAGAAAGGAAAAATTGAAATCGCATCATATGACCCCTTTAAAGCTGAATTTCCAGTAGCCACCAGTCTTCAGTGTCACACGATCCTTTAGAAACCATTCTATTATGCTGATTTAATGCTCAAAACATTTTTTTTTATCAGTATGGATGTTGAAAACAGTTCTGCTGCTTGCTTTTTTTTTTTTTTTTGTGGAATCCGTGATACAATTGTTTTCAGTATTCTTTGTTAAATAGATTTCAAAAGATCAACGTGTATTTTAAATATATAAAGTCTTCCGAATGTTTATGTTTAAACGTAATTTCTGGTGGGAAAAAATACACATGCATACGCACAATATATGGCTGCCGATATGTTAGTGATCTAAATATGGGTTTGACAGCAGGGGGAAGATTTCGTCATGGCTGCCTCCTCGACATAAATAAAGAGAAACGCTATTTGTCAGCGGCAGCAGCAGAGCAGGAAGCAGTGAGGCGACCGCAGAGCAGACTGCTGCACACGAACAGCCAAAGAAAGATGACTTCCTAAACACAGAGATTCCGCTAGCAGACTAGAGGAAGCTAAAAGACATTCACATCTTACACGACGGAGCTCGGATAAAGTGAGAAATGGAGAAACGGCAGCATTCGTCGGGTTCAGAGAGGGGCTGCCGGCCGTCTGTCCCGCGTAAACCGAGGAACCTCGGAGGAGCAATCCCTGCACCTCGACAAGACGGCGTGGATTCATTAGACAGGTACAAGACGTGGGTTTATGCTCACATGTACAATTACATATGTATTTTTCATAAATAAGCGATCTACCGTGTGCGAACACGCGATACAGGATGGAGAGATAAGACGCGTCCTATATATGGTTAATGTTATGATATTTACCCTGATATATACTGTATATTATAGTTTATTTGTGCTCAGATAACACTAATATCAAAACTATTTCTTATTAAATGATTTCTGTCCATTAGAAACTATCAGCACGCATCCTTCCATCATCATTTTAAGGTAGTAACGTTAGCCTGCAACATGTGTTACCAAGAAGTGATACATTAACTGCAACAATAAGACATAAAAGCATTTTTTAAAGCCAGGTTGCAATGTTGTTGCATTTTTCACCAATGGAAGATCAGACTGTGTGACACATTTCTCTGACCTCATATTGCCATCTGTCATCTTCAGTCCACACTGACTGGCACTGCTGGCAGATGCATTGACTGAAGCACTTGCTTGAGTGTGTT